GAGGAGATATGGAGATATATGTATGTGTATAGCTGATTCACTTTGTCATACAGCAGCAACTAACACACCATTGTAAAGCAGTTGTACTCCAATAAAGATGTTAAAAAAATAACTAAATAAAAATAAGAATTTCTGCTTGAAAAAAGTAGCATAAAGGAAGTCCAAAGACAGACTGGAAAAAGAATAACAGCAACACTTGCAACAAAAGGACTCATTTTCATAATACCTGAAGAACTAAAAATAGAACAGACCAAGACCACAAATGCAGAGAAAGATGGGCATAAGACATAAAGAGGGTGTGTAAAAAGAATGAAAAGAGATTCATGCTCACTGACAATGAAATACAAAATAAATGGACGGATGAGCATTCTTACTCCCATTGAGTTGGCAGAGATTAAAAAGTTTGATAATCTCCTCAGTTGGCTAAAATATTTGCCAGCAGATATTCCTGTTGTTTGCGGGAGAACAAATTGGTACAAATATTTGAAGATAAATTTGGCAATATCTATGAAAACCTAAAACGCTCAATTCCTTTGACTCACCATCTCTACTTTTATGAATTTATTTCATAGATAAACTCACATAAATTTGCCAAGTTATGTGTACAGGATGTTCCTGGCTGCTTTCTAATAATAACAACCCCCCCCCACACACACATAGACACTAAGAAATAGCCTAAGTGCCCATCACGCGGTGGCAGTGTACATTCATTATGGTCCATGAACACCATGGTTCACAGCTCCTAAAACCTGGTAGATATATATGTGTTAATAGGAAGAGCTGTCTAACATGTATTAAATTAAAAAAAACAAGTTGCAGAGTAATATGTATAGAATGTCCAATTTGTGTTTAAAAACATTCAGAATATTCACGACACATGGAGTTGTTGGCAGTGGTTACCCCAGTGGTGTAGAATGGTGGGCTGAGCTGGAGGGTGGGGGATGATTGGAGAATTGCAGAATCTCCCCACCTACTCCCACGTAGAGACTTCTCTACTGTTTGATTTTTAAAATTAAATTTATATTTTGAAAAACATTCAAAAACTTTTCATAGAAAGTGATTACTTACCAAAGAGAAAAATGAGTACTTGTCTCATATATCAGATATTCCCATTTGTGTGATGTTCACAGGTTGGAGAGGGACTTACTAAAGTAAGGTTGGTGGCTTTGGGTAATGGCCCCTAGACCCACCTCACTTCTTGCATTTTTAGAGAAAGAGTAGTGTTTAAGAGAGCAGGCTCCTGACGTCATTGAGGCTTTGCTAGAATCTCAGGTCTTCTATTTATTAGGTGTGTCACCTGGAGAAGTCACTTCACCTTTCAGGGAGAAAAATAGTAGAGGCTACCTACTCAATGTGCATAAAACAGACAACAAAGTAAATCTGCAGTGTTTGGGTTAATTCAGTGGAAAACTGTGAAGAATTTGTTGTGTGTTTTATAGTTTTCAAGGTGACTTTAGTAGCATTATCTTACTTGATTCCCAAACAGTCCAATGAAGTAGGTAAAGAAGGTATTTATCCTTCTTGTTGTTTTTTTTTTAACATCTTTATTGGAGGATAATTGCTTTACAATGGTGTGTTAGTTTCTGCTTTATAACAAAGTGAATCAGGTATACATATACATATATCCCCATATCTTATCCTTCTTGTTTTATAGGTAAAACTAGCATACAGACAAAGGGACTTGTCTAAGTTGTGGAAGTAATAATAGGAACATGGTCACAGACTCCTGACTCCTATTTCAGACCCTTTCTAGTACATCTCAAAGCCTGTAGAGCATTATTGGGTAGCACCGAAAAAGCAGAGTGAGGTGTTTCACGTGGTTAGAAGCCAGTACACCCTTCATTGGATATTCGTTGGATATTCATTGAATATATTCGATGGTCTCCTCTAGAGGTCATTACCAATTTCCCCTCAGACAAATGAACACCTTGAATAGGAAACAGGCAGGCATTTTGCATCTTGTCTCAGTTTGCCATTCCGTGACTTTCCTGGGCAGAGGTTGTTTCCTTCTGGATTCAGGGGTGTTTGATTGATTGTGTCTTTGTTGAGTGAAAGCTGCCGTGTCCCCCCAGCACCAATATCTGCTCTAGACTCAGAAGCATGTTTCTCTGGTTTAGGGCTATAGACCAGTTTGGGAATAAGGGCAGCGCTATAGGCTCCATGTTTGTGTTCCCTTCAAATTCACACGCTGAAAACTAACTCCCAATGTGATGGTATTAGGAGGTGGGGCCTTTAGGAGGGGATGAGGTCGTGAGGGTAGAGCCCTCATAAATGGATTAGTGCCCTTCTAAAAGAGACCCCGGAGAGTTCTCTTGCTGCTTCCATCATGTAAGTTTGTAATAAAAAGATGGCCATCTAAGAACCAGGAATCAGGTTCTTACCAGATACTGAATCTGCTGGCACCTTGATCTTGGTCTTCCTAACAGTCAGAACTGTGAGAAATAAATTTATGTTCTTTATAAGCCACTCAGTCTATGGTATTTTTGTTATAGCCTCCGGGACTAAGACAGGAAGCATAAGAGGACTTTAGAATTCATTTTCTGGAGACAGGATTGTAGCCAAAGGAGAATGTATATAAGTGGGGAAAATGTCAGTGGCTTTTATGGTGGTGGTAGTATTTGTGTTACCTAGGGAAAAAAGAATTTGGGGATATATCATGCTTTAATTGGAGCCTTTAAGACAGACCTACCTGAATTTTCCTAAGCAGAGAAAAACAACCTGCTATTTTTGGAATGAAGGGAAAGGAGAGAGGCTGAATTAGCTTCTCATTCCATCCAACATCCTCTAAGCGTTTTTTGTCGAGCATCTGCAAGTTGACATAATGTTGATCCGTTCAGTCTGGTTCTAAATTGTTCTGTTAAATGCTAGACAACTTTTATCACAGAAGCTGTCCCCCCTCCTTCAGAATGATTGTCTATAATTAAGGAGGAAACCAGAAAATAATGATAGGTTCTCTTTGCCTTTCTAATGGCTTTCTTATTAAGTATGTCTGAAAAAGCTATGGAGATGTTGATTTCCCACGTAACCAAAAGAAGTCAGCCATTATATAATTACCTCTTTGTAAAGACTACAAAGAGAAATGTATGAGAAATGCTTTCAATGGGCTAAAGACACCGGTGAAGCACAAAGAAAAACAATTCTTCTCCAACAATGAAAAGCAGCGAATCAATTAGTTGTTAAGGAAATGTCTTTCCCAACAACTCTGAGGTGTCAGTGGCGTGGCTGTGAGAGGTATGATTGGGGATGGAAGATGAAGTCGGGAAGGAGGGGATGTGTAAGAGGGCAGCCGGGCTGCGGGTGGTATAATGGTACTTACGCCTTTTAATTAAGTCCTCACTTACAAAAGTGTCCTCACTTGTATTTTCTCTGTTGGAGGAGACCAAGATATTCACAGGCTGAGACTTGATTCAGATCCCTGGCGATGTCACCGCTGTTAGTCATATGTGTTGGGAAGGGGTGAGGTCCATGTTCTAAATGCCCAAATTCTCAGCTACCAACTTATTACTATTCTGGGTGCCTGAGGGATTGTGATAAATACAGCAGGATGGGCTTCCTTCTGCCTTCATCGCCTTCTTTCCTTTGCTCCTTCCCTCCTACCAGAGAGAAGAGAAAGAGAGACTTTGTTAGTATAATTATACATTGAAGTTACTCAGTAAGGTCTTCCCTGGTGGCGCAGTGGTTGAGAGCCCACCTGCCGATGCAGGGGACGCGGGTTCGTATCCCGGTCTGGGAAGATCCCACATGCTGCGGAGTGGCTGGGCCCGTGAGCCATGGCCGCTGAGCCTGCGCGTCCGGAGCCTGTGCTCCACAACGGGAGAGGCCAAAACAGTGAGAGGCCCGCGTACCGCAAAAAAAAAAAAAAAAAAGTTACTCAGTGAAAGGTGACCAATATTAGCAAGAGCAAAGTTTGTTTGCCTCGTAGATATTTTATTCTGCAAAATCTGAGGGGTGGAGATGCCTCCATAACCCAGAAGTTACTTGGGGACAAGGCCACAAGCTATGAATGACTGAGGATTCATTGCCAAATTCCGCTGTAATTTCCTCTCTGGTGATCTGGGCTCCTCCTCTTCAGATGTTTCACCTGGACCCCATTATCATCCTTTCAGGTTGGGTGTGACTCCCTGCCAAGAAAAGGACAGTTGACCCAGGAGAGCTTTTGCGCTAGTCCAGGATAAACTTTGCCCCCCTCTCCAGCAGCCCCATTGTGTCTTGGAGTCCGTTTTATGCTTTACTTATCTAGGAGTTGCTCCTCCTTGAAGGTGAGTTGATGAGCAGGGTGGGCCTCTTCCAGTCAGGTGAAGGCCTAAAGAAAATACAGACTGAAGTCTCTGGAGGGAGAGGGAAGTCTGCCTTCAGACTGGCTCCAGACTCAAGCTGCAACATCAGCTCTTCCCTAGGTCTCCAACCTGCTGGCCTGCCCTGCAGATTTCGGACTTGCCAGCCTTCACTATTGCATAAGCCAGTTCCTGAAAGATCAATCTCTCTCTCTCTCTCTCTCTCTCTCTCTCTCTCTCTCTCTCTCTCTCCCTCCCTCCCTCCCTCCCTCCCTCTCATGTCAGGCCTTCAAATATTTGAAGAGTCTTCATATCACCCCCTGTTAATTTGGATCCTGAGAATGGGTAGATGGTTTGAGGGAACTCTTTTTGGAGCAGAGACAAAATGCAATGAGATTGAAGCAAAAATAAAGAATGCCAAGTACTGAAGGTGTTAGCACAGAGTTTTGCACCTACTAGATCCTCCTTTAGTAAGAGCTGTTATGATTGATAAAGAGACACCAGACCAGGAAAGACAATCATCGCCACCAGTGTCCCCTACCATTTGTAGAGCTTGTTGGGCTATCACAATATTTGCTTTCATGCTTGGGAGATAATTGGCACTTAGCTGTTACGGCAGCAGCGGTAGGGGAAAAAAAAAAGCCAAGAGGAAGAGGGTAGGTCTGGTTTTCATCTGCGAGATCCGGCACATGCCCATGTGAATAACAAACAACAGCTACGGGATGGCTCAGCGCCTGGACATCTGTTATCACCCTGTCTGGTAGCTGTGTTTTCTTCCTTAAGCATGAATGAGGTGACTGAGGGGGAACTGGAAAATCTTTGCAGTGAGGGAGGCAGGGACAGTGTCTCCGAGGCAGCCCTGAAATCTGCCTCCGGTCTGATTCTTTGTGTGGGAGCGTACTGTGAACGCGTGTACCAGCAATGGAAATGTGGCTAATTTTTGCTCAAGCTTCCATGGTGGGCTCCCCCTGCCCCCACTGTGTCTGTGGTACCAGTGCTTTGAGAATATTGCAGAAATGCAATTAAGTAAAAATCTTACAAGTCCACAGCCCAAGCCCAACTGTTTTCAGTTTAAGTTTTTATCCACCTGCAGGTATACTTTAGTGTAATTATAACCAGTGGATGAATAGAATTTTGTATTGTGTATTTTTTTTTCATTTAACAGTCTATGATAAACATGTTCTTATACGGTGTCAACAGTACAATTTTATAGCTGTGATGTTAACGGTATTTCAGAGCTGATGCACCATGGTTACCTAAGTTAATCATTCCTCATTGTTAAACATTTCCAGTACTTGTTACAAAAAGCCCTACAGTGAATATCTTTTTATGTATAGGTTTTTCCTTCTTTTGAATAACTTCCTTCAGCATTTCCAGAGAATGAATCAAGAGACATTTTTGTCTTGATATATATTGCTATATTATATTGTATTATACCAATACAAATTGTACATATAATATTGTATGTTGTATACAATATTGTTCGTATTGGTATAAATTACAAAAACAATGTGCAAATGTGTCACATTTGCCAGAGCATTGCCAGGTAGGATATTAATTGTAATGAATATAAAGTGATATCATAATGTGGTTTTCTTTTCTTTTTATTTTTTTTAATAACAAAGGTAACCATTTTCCATGGTTTACATTTCTTCTTGTGTGTACTGCATGCTAGTGTCTATTGGAGTATTTACTTTTACAAATTCATTTAATTTTGTTTAAATGAGCTCTCCATATTAGTCATATTAATAGAAATATTTCTCTAGTATATTATCCTTAATTTTATCTTTACTATTTCTTTTTGTGTAAAGGTTGCAATTTTTCTTAATCTTAATAGGCTTTCCAATTCTTTACTGACATAAGAAAAACCTTTTAATCAATCCTGTGTTGTCTTGTACTTGCTTTTTTTTTTTAAATCAGAATCTTTTTTTTCCTTTTTTTGAATTTATTTATTTATTTTATTTTATTTTTGGCTGCGTTGGGTCTTCGTTGCTGCTCTCGGGCTTTCTCTACTTGCGGCGAGTGGGGGCTACTCTTCCTTGTGGTGCGTGGGCTTCTCATTGTGGTGGCTTCTGTTGTTGTGGCTCACGGGTTCTAGAGCGCAGGCTCAGTAGTTGTGGCACATGGGCTTAGTTGCTCCGTGGCATGTGGGACCTTCCTGGACCAGGGATCGAACCTGTGTCCCCTGCATTGGCAGGCGGATTCTTAACCACTGCGCCACCAGGGAAGTCCTGTACTTGTTTTCGTCTGCCACTTGAACTTGGTGGAATACTGCATAACTTCTGAGAATATTTTGATATTCAAGCTTATTTCTGGTTCAGAAAGGTTCTGGTTACCCTCAACTCAGCCAACCAAGAAACAAAAAAATTCAAAAATAAGCTTTGGCTCATTTTATTATTCAGAATATGCAATTAACAGTTCAGTTTCTGAACTCTCGAAGTATGATTCATTCCCATTTTTTGTTACACAGAGTCCTTGAAGTTTTTGAATGGTTTTAGTATCTTTCATATGTGCTCCCTATGTATCCTCTACGCGGGGGAAATCACTCCATTTACATGGTGTTAAGCCCTCCTTCCAGCCTGGTAATTTCCAGCTGTATTGCCTGGACTGCCCTTTGCCCTGGGTACTGTCTGGGTCAAGGTCTCTCACTAGCCATGAAGCAACCATTGGTTTAGGGCTTCCACTGTGACCAGCTGCTTTGCGGTTTGCCTCCCTCCCACATGGCAGTGGTGAGGTCGCTCTGGAGCTCTGTCCCAACTTGGTGGGCTCATATTTGGCCCTCCTCTGCTCTCCTGGGTTAAGACTCTGTTGTTCACAGCGAAAGCTGTGGTTAGTTTGCAGGTGGGCTGCAGAATGGTAATTTGGAAGACACTGCTCTATAGAGTGTTTGGCTCACAGTGGCTTTTTAGTAAGTGGTCACTCATTTGTTGACAATCCGGAGATTCTTTCTTGTCTTAGCCTGCAGACCTTCTTAGAATCCAATAGCAGAGGGACAGAGTAAGGCAGCAGGAGATGTGGCCTCGACTGAGAGCAGGCTCCCTGAAGGGTTCTGTAGTCCAAGTTAAAATGTCCAGAGACTGCAGTAAGCAGGGTCCAGCCTGGGCTGGAGTTAGTGCCTAATGTCTGGTGGGTGAAGACAAAACCTCAGGGTTGTCTGGGGTAAAATTAGTCACAGACGGTAGGTTGCTGAGTCATGGTTCTTGATTGAATGGGAAGTGGGGAAGAGGAACATGTAGAAGAAGCAGGATTCAAGGCACTGGAGGGAGCAGAGCTCTACAAGCGGGGATGAGGCTGTAAATCAGGACCTAGATAAACAGTCTGGGTTCAGAAAGAATCTGACTCCCAGCAGGGAACTGGAAATCAGTGGGAGCCCAGGAACTTGACAGAAGTTGAGTCAGTTGAGCTGGAAGGGCGAGTTGGTGCTCATAGCAGCTCGCCCAGGAACTCTGGAGAGGAGGGCCACAGTTGCCTGTTTGAGCTCTTGCCCTGCATCTCTGCCAGACTGTCTGTCTTGCTGATCTGCTCCTTTGGATTTTTGGGCAAAGACTCAGATTCAGACTCCTGGGGGAGTGTTTCAGCTCTGGGCTTCTTAGAGGAAGCTTCAAGACTTGCCCTTCTTCCCAGACTGGATTACATGTGCCATCTATGTACTCTGCATAGATTTCTAACATTGCTCTTACGTTTATCATCATCACCACCATGACCCAGTTCAAAACAATGTCTAACATGTACTATTTCTAACGCACCAAAAAAAACAAATCACAAACCAGAAAAGTAATACAGCAAATACCCATGGATTTAGCCTGCCATCCAGTATTAGTAAATGTTAATATTCTTCTTATTAAGTTTTATAAAGAAATAAAACATTGGAGATACAGCAAACGTCCCACCTCTCTATCTCATCCCCTTCCCTCGTTCTTTAGACAGAGGCAAGCACATAATGATTCACCATTTAAGGACATGGGTCTCTGGAGTGTGTGTTCTTAGAGGGTGGCACCATATCCTATTCATCTTGCATTGCTAGCTAATGGCAGTGCCTGACACAAGCTAGAGGTAACTAAGTGTTCAAACAATGAAGGAATGAATGAATGGCAGAGATTGTTTATTATTATTATTATTAATCCTTTACTGTACCTAACAGGGGCACTATAAATATTTGATGACTTGGGGAATTAAAAAAAATCTTGGTCTCTTACTGAGAATAATTTTCCCAGTTTTGTCATGTTCCTTTCTCCTTTGTGTTGACTCATAGAGCCTATTTGCCTCTAACTCTTACAAAAAGATAGTGTTTGTGCATCTTTAGGGTTTGTAAATAGGTGACAAAGAAACATGAGCTGAGGAACTTACAATATAAAGACCAACTTGATTCCTCAGAATTAATTTCAGATGCAAAAGTGAAAGGAGGGAAAAGGAGAATATGTGTGAAAGCATTGGTGCATCAAGGAAAAAATCAACTAAATTGATGTCATTAGAAAGTGTATTTCATTTGAGTGGAAAATATTCTAGGCTATCATATAATCTCTTGTCTGGAAATGCCAGTCCCAATAACTTGATACATATGGATGTAGAAATACACACACACACACACACACACACACACACCCTCTGTTTATTTGTGTCTCTCCTTTAGTCTGTGGCTCCATGAAATCTCCTGGGGACTTTTAAGTACTGGGATGTATAGACTAGAAGCACTAGAATTCTAGCTTTTTTTTTTTTTTTTTTTATAGGAAGCTTCCCATGATAAGTTAATACAACAAACCACACAACACACACACTTTTCTGTGGGACACTGAAGGTGTCTTCCATACTTCCATGTCTTAACCACCTGTTTTCTTGGTTGAAGGATGTTTATGTTTCCATACAGATTTGGAGAAAAAGGCTTGGTTTTATTCATTTTCCCTCTGAGTGAGTGGTGCTTTTCAAAATGAACATACTGAACAGCACATTATCATCCCATTAAATGCTTAAAATTATAGACAGCTGAGCCAAACCTGCTCCCCTTCCCTTTCCTGGATACAGTCTAACAAGCCAGCTACAAATTCCAGATGATCAATTTGCTTAGCGGTGATGGTCATTTACTTAGTGTTTTGCTTCAAACCCAGTGAGAGGCAGTCTTGAATGATCGGCTATGCTTCAGGTGCTCTTTGGCATGAAGCCTTCTGCTCGGGCACTTGCGTTTTTCATGGTTTTGGTGTCCAGCCCCAGCAGTTTTTGGTATCAGAAAGGAGCCCTCCACTGTTGGTTCCACCGCCCCCACCGTTTCCCCATTTACCATTAGTACCTTGTCTCTCCATATGAAATGAAACTGTTGTCCAGTGTCTTTTTTGCACGATGCAGGTGACCATAAGGAGTAGAGATGCACAGTCATATCCATTAACTGATTCATTCATTCATTCATTCATTCAGCATTTATTGGCACCCACTATGTTCCAGGTACTGTGTCAATTACTAAGGATTAAAAGATGAATAAGAAACAACTACTGCTCTCGTGGAGCTCACAGTCTAGCAGGGAAGGGACATACATATAATAAAAAAGAAAAAGAAGGCAATGCAATGGCCTGTTGTAGAAACAGGGACAAGATGTCACCATTAGGTCTGTATTGATTAAGTAGCTTCTGAAGAACATAAGAAGCCCTCACAACAAGCATGTTTCCTCCATCCTCACAGTGTGTAATTCTTATCTATGAAGGTTAAACAAATGCCAATTCATGACGGAAAGAGTCTCCAGGAATTCCAGTTTCCCAGTATTCCCTCCATGCT